CTCTGGCAGAACAGTGCAAGGACATATTCTCCTTCACGTACCAGGGCTGTCAGCTGAGGTACACCCGCCTGCCCCAAGGGTTTGCTCTTTCTCCAGGTATTTTTAACCAGGTTTTGAAGCAGGCTTTACAGGGATGTCCTCTCCCGGACGGTGTCACCCTCGTCCAATACGTTGATGATCTCCTGATCGCTGCCCCAACATCAGAAGCGGCCCTACAGGCTACTCAGTCAGTACTGCTCCGACTGTCGGAACAAGGGTTCAAGGTCAGTAAAAATAAACTACAGGTTGTGCGGACAGTGGTGTCCTTTTTAGGTCGAGTGTTGTCCAGCACAGGGACAGGTCTCTCCCCAGCTCATCGTTCAGCTATCCTGCATCACCCAAAACCCACTACGGTAAAAGACATGTTGTCCTTTTTAGGTCTCACCGGCTACAGTCGCACGTACATTCCAGATTACACGGGGCTCACACAGCCCCTGAGGGCCCTGGTCCGAGAGCACGGCCTACGTCGCCCCAGTGCATCCCTCAATTGGGACCAGGCGTCGGAGGGGGCTTTCATCATTTTAAAGCAGAGATTAGCCCAGGCCGCAGACCTAGCCCTCCCAGATTACTTGATCCCGTTCCATTTGGATGTTTCTGAAACAGGTGACGTTGTCAACGCCATCCTGTTTCAGAAAAAAGGGGGAGAAAGGAGAGTGCTGATGTACATCAGTGGAAAACTTGACACTACAAAAAAAAGACACCCTGCATGCACAAGGCACGCAGCAGGAGTGGTCAAAATTATTCAGAAAACAGCACACATAGTGATGGGACACCAACTGCATATTCTGACTTCACACAGCGTGGTGGCCTACAGTATGTAAACTCACACACCTTTACCATGACGTCGCTTAGGCAGCAGAGACTTTGCAAAATACTAGAGGCACCCAATTTGAATTTTTCCCACGAAGGGATTAACATGGCCGATTGGATGAGCGTGGGAGAACCACATATGTGTGAGTCCAGAGTTCAGAAAGAGGAAAAGGTTAGACTAGATTTGGAAGCAGAGAAAATAGAAGGGACAGAAGATTGGTTCACAGATGGGTGTTGTTTCAGAACAGGCACAGGAGGTTTGCAGGCAGGATATGCAGTCGTGGCCAGACAAGGCCAAGAATATGTGACCTTGAAGGCAGAAAGGCTGGAAGGAGCCCAGTCAGCTCAAAGGGCCGAAGTAATAGCCGTGATTGAGGCGCTAAAATTAGCAGACGGAAAAGAAGTCACCATATACTCAGACTCAGCATACGCGGTAGGCGCAGTACATGTGGAACTCAGCCAATGGCTCAGAGCAGGATTTTTGACTGCGGGAAACAAGCCAATAAAACACGAAGCAGAGATGAAAGAGCTGGCAGAAGCACTAATGCTTCCTAAAAAAGTAGCAGTAGTAAAATGCAAGGGCCACGAAGGATCAGGAACAAGGGTAGCACAGGGAAATCAGGTAGCAGATGAAGAAGCAAAAAGGGCAGCAGGATACCAGGTGACCAAACAGATGGTCAC